TCCAAACCTTTTTCAATACAGATTGTCACTGACAATAGCTAGTGAATTTTTCTGTTATAGGCTCTCTGATAGGAAAATTCTTTAAACGCAGTGACATTTTGGGGCGAATCATCTGATTTGTCCTTACTACACGTATATTTAAATAATATTCATATTTTCAATTGTATAGAAACGAGCAGAGAAAATCCCAAAAAATCTGGAAGAATGAAAGTACCACCTCCTTGATTAACCTACATACAGTATTTAGCTGATAATCAGAATTATTATTGAAAGACACCTAGTGTTTTCACGATAATACAAGTTGTTTTTGGCTTGTGATTGATTAGATTATGGGAGAATTTTGAGATGAGTAAAATTATCCAAGATGAGTGTTTCATCTCCTTTATACGGTGGTACTTACTGATGAGTTGAGTTGGAGACCATTTTTAATGTGGTGGACTTCGTTATTGAAAATTTGTTGGTCAGATGATAATGATTTGGCTCTATCATGGAGTGATTTGATTATTCCTTTCTTGATACTTTCCTGATGATTTGATTGAAAGTTCAAGTATTTGTTGTATATACACTTGTTACAAAGATGTTATTTGATTTCTCAATAAGAACATCTAGAAATGGTAACTGATTGTTAAGATTCAATTTCCAAAGTGCATTTTATGGTAGGTTCGGCATTGTTCACATAATCCAGAAAATCATCTAGCTCCATAAGGTTATGTGGCCAAATTATGAAAATATCATCTACGTATCGCCACCATGTTTCAGGTTGTTTTTGGTAATTTTTTGAAAAGTTTCAAGACAGATACGAATTTGCTATTCAAATAAGCAGATTCGGTCCCGAAACGTCCAAAGCAGCTAAGTGAAAATTTGATATTTTTTATATATACCTTTATTTCTCTTCTCCAAACCTTTTTCAATACAAATTGTCACTGACAATAGCTAGTGAATTTTTTTGTTATAGGCTCTCTGATAGGAAAATTCTTTAAACGCAGTGACATTTTGGGGCAAATCATCTGATTTGTCCTTACTACACGTATATTGAAATAATATTCATATTTTTATTTTATAGAAACGAGGAAAGAAAATCCCAAAAACTGGAAGAATGAATGTACCACCTCCTCGATTAACCTACAGACAGTATTTAGCTGATAATCAGAATTATTATTGAAAGGCAGCTAGTGTTTTCACGATAATACAAGTTGTTTTTGGCTTGTGATTGCTTAGATTTTGGCAGAATTTCGAGATTACTTGAGTTATCCAAGATGAATGTTTTATCTCCTTTATACGGTGGTACTCAATGATGTATGTAATAAGTGCATTGTGCCAGGGCCAACTTGTGAGAGCCAGACGATGACTTGAAGTGAAATGGTTTAAAATATCAGGACTTATATGGGTATGGGTCAATGCCGATACTTTTATATGTTACTTTGAATACATATAGAAACGATTTCATGCGTTTTCACAACAGAGACGGATTTGCCATAAACAATTCGAGAGGCTTCTACATATAGACATATTGCGATTAATCTTGTTCACGCCAATTATGAATTCGTTTTTTTTTTCAATGAAGGAGTGTTCTCAAAATGTTGGTTTCATATGTACAGGCATAAATTAACATCTATGGTACAGGGAAGGGAATCTTCTTGTATTTTGACCCATATACCTACAGCTTTAACTATACGAAGTGAGAAAAACTAAAAATATGGAAGTTGTAAGGTTTCAAATTATACTGGGTGATTCATTGAGAATGCAAACAAGAAACATGTTTTCTAACCAACAAAATCTGCTTTACTTCAAGCATATACAGTGTGTCCCACTTACCATGCTCACCATGGGTATCTTTTAAACGGTGAGAGATACGAGGTCGGTTAAATGACACCAAATGTGGAGTTTGTCAAGGCCAACTATAATGTGAAAAAAAATTCTGATAAAATCTATTAGTTTTCGTTTTATACGCAAAAAACAGATTTTGATCATTTTCATGTCTCCTCCGTAACTTCTTTATTTATGAAAATATTCAAATAGGAATTTCACATTCTTATGGCAGTTTTTCAGAGTGATTTCGAAAAAAATATGAAATTTATACCAACTCTTCTAGAATTTGGGATATCAGCACCAACTTTAGTTTTTCAAATGTAGGTCATAGCTCACTATGACTTAGTTACAAATAACTTTTTTTTCTCTTCCAGATGATGTGTCGCAGTAATAGTTTTGTGTTGATAACAACGGAGTTATCGTCATTTATACAAGAACAAAAAATTATTTGGAAGCCGCCATCTTGAATTTATAAATTTTAACAAACAAATCATGATCTCCGACCTCAAAAACCCCCACTTACCAATTTTGAATGGAATCGAACCAAATCTTGACCGCCATCTTGGAGCAGCCATTTTTTTTAATTTCAAAAAAAATTCCATAATGTATTGTCACCGAAATTATGACCACCTGTCAAATTTCAAGTTAATCGGAGTTATGGAATTTTTTTTTTAAACTATTACTGCGACATATCATCTGGAAGAGAAAAAAAGTTATTTGTAACTAAGTCATAGTGAGCTATGACCTACATTTGAAAAACTAAAGTTGGTGCTGATATCTCAAATTCTAGAAGGGTTGGTATAAATTTCATATTTTTTTCGAAATCACTTTAAAAAACTGCCATAAGAATGTAAAATTCCTATTTGAATATTTTCATAAATAAAGATCGAAGTTACGGAGGAGACATGAAAATGATCAAAATCTGTTTTTTGCGTATAAAACAAAAACGAATAGATTTTATCAGAATATTTTTTCTCATTATAGTTGGCCTTGACAAATTCCACATTTGGTGTCATTTAACCGACCTCGTATCTCTCACCGTTAAAAAGATACTCATGGTGAGCATGGTAATTGGGACACACTGTATATGGGTTGTTCAACTTCAATGTATCATATGCTTTTTTTTATATTCTGGTTTCCACGGAAAGGGATATCCTGTAATGTTCAGAGAACATCGTGAGAACCAAGGGAAATGAGGTAGGAATTGGTGTTCTCCTTGAATTTCTGGAGGTTATATGCCTCGGGGAACATCTTCCTTGGCAATGTGTTCCAGAGCCTCGCTGTTCGTTGGATGAACGAGTCTTTGGAAAGGGATGTTCTGCAAGTCTCCAAAGTGAACACGAAGGGGTACGAAGCCTCAACTCGGCGGGTTGATCTCGCGGGGACTGCCAAGGGAGGAACAATTGTTGATATTTCAGAGAGAAATAGAGCCAGATCGCCAACTTTTCTGCGGTGTTCCAGAGTAGTGAGTGAGTTTGTGAGCGAGGCATCACCCACGAGACGGATTGCCCTTTTTTGGACAGAATCCAACAGTTTCAAGTTATGTATGGGTGCTGCACTCCAATATGGGAACACTATTCCCCAGGACAGGTCAATCTGTGCCTTATAGATCATGAGCAGGTGACTGGAAGTGAAATTGCTCCTGGCCCGAAACAGAAAACCAAGTTTTTGGGATGCACTTTTAGCAATTGATCTCACGTGATTTTCCCAAGAAAGGTTAATGCTGATAGTAATACCAAGCATCGAAATGGATGTCTTCAAAGGTATGGTTACTCCTGACAAGCTTATGTTGGGCACAGTGAGATCTGCTTTTCTAGAGAAAAGGTATGCTTGTATTCTGTTTGCATTGAAATCTACCAAGTTATCGGATCCCCATTCGAGAATTGTTGCTGAGTCCATATTTATGTTGTCAACATTTCTCCCTCGTTCGTTTCTGATTTGCCCTGGAAGAGAAGGCGGTATGGAGGGTACTATTATCCGCGAAGCTGTGTACTGGACATGAAGTTGCTTCCAACAAATCGTTGATATGGAGTAGGAAAAGTGTTGGTGCTAGAATTGATCCTTGCGGAACACCAGCATTTATGATAAGAGAGTCAGATGAAACTCCGTCGTTTAAGAGAAAACTAGCTAGCAGAGAACATAGCTGGGGAGGCAAGCCATAAGATGAAAGCTTGGCGAGGAGTCTGTGGTGCCAGACTCGATCGATTGTATAATTTGCTAATATTCCCTCAATATTTTTTTCACTTATTTAGCTATCACAATTTTGAATCAAATTTGCCAATGACATTTGAATGACCGTGGACACAACAGAATGCCATGGAAACAAAATAGGCGTTTTTTGAAATTTCTAATCAAAATGGGTTATTCCGAAGATTCCGACGGGTCGTGGAAACATTAGCAAATTATGTAAATTTGTGAACAAAAGGAAAAAATCTTTCACTAGAGTTGAAAATATATAAGGTGTTTCATTGAAAAAAAAATGTTCACTCTTTCTTTAATTTTGCGATTCGCTTCTGTTCGTTTGAGGAGTGCCAGAAGATAGTATCCACCTCGTATAGTCGAAGCTGTCTAGGTATACAGGGTGTTGCGAAATTCGACCGACAACGCTTGACAGGTGATAGCCCTCGTGATTTCATAATCACTGAGATAGGGACATACGGTCTTCAACTTCAAGTGTTCAGTTCTCGAGATACAGGGCGTTGAAGTTAAGAAATAAAAACATTGAAATATGAAACCATATACTGAATTTGAATGCATTATCAACGATTGAGATTTTGAGAAGTTGTTTCGCACGATTATTGGGTTACCCAAGCAGATAGTTACTGATAATGGACCTTCTTTTTGCTCCAAAGAATTTCGAGAATTTTTGATTCAATTATGAAACACCCTGTATAAATAGCAATTTTATTTGTCGACACTGCAATAATAGACATAATGCAATTTTCCAACAGTAATGAATTTATTAATATTTTTATACATAACTGCAGCTCAGTATGCACTGGTGATGAGAAGTATTGTCACCTGAAGGTTAATCAGACTTAGAATGCACCATAACTGATTATACAGGGTGGACGCAAAATTATTATTTTCACCCACACTGAACTTGCACATGACATTTCAGTAACTAGGGCTCACTTTTCTTGTGATGTTCCTTTGTATTGAATATTTTTAATAAAAGTGGACTCACCTACCTAAATGAATTGTTATCACAACACCTTTCATTCCGTTTCAACCGAACGTATTAGGTATATCTACGTACCTATTCAGTATTTTAGCGAAAAATCATAGTTACATATAGTATGAACACGTAATACCTATATATGGACAAATGATAAATCACGACTTCCTGGAAGTCTTCATTCGTTCATTTATATCAACATGTGAATACAGGGTGTCCCAAAATAAAGATCGGATATTTCGGGATACTATACAAAATCACTTCAACCTGTGAGTGACTGATAGGTATGTCAAAATTTGACAACCATAGCACTCTTATGCTGGCGAACAAAATTGCCGATCATATTATGTTTGTTTACCTAAATAGCCGCTAATATCGCATATCATGTGACTTCAATCATGAAATTTCATAGGTGAAGCCAGGTATGAATGAAATAATCGTAGATATGACACCGTCCAAAATGTGTACCGCTTTTTTTGCCCACCGTGTAAATGATACGTGACACTTGTTGAGTAAACAATAAACGGAAATTTGCATTGTTGAAAATAACTTGAATATTATGTATGGTAACATCAAAGTACATACATCCGCATAGGAAAATAAGTAATATACTGAGTGAAAATCTGTAGGGATGAAACAAAAATTAAATTTGCTATGTAAACTGATTTCTTTATTATCTACCTCAAGGTTTATGTTGGTGTCTACAATAGGCATAGGTTCATAAAAAAAATATACCAATAATTAGGAATAATAATAATAATAATAATACGTCTTTATTCACCAAAGTACATACAAACAAGGATCCAAGTGGAGATACGATATTACAATAATATGAATATGATACTAATGCTGATTGACTATACATATGAATTTCATAATTTGAAGAGTTAATATCTGACATTTCTTCAAGATTTTTTGGGATTTTCTCTCTTCTTTTTTACGACATAAGTGAGTCTTTAGTCGTGTTTAGTTCAGTAGATGAGTACGCAGGAATAATCACACTATTTGTTCCAAAATTAGAACTATTTTCACATGTCTGTCAATCTGAGATTTTGATGATTCCAACCGATAACAAATATGCCTGATTCTAGCAAATGATTCTATATTATACCGATTATTTTTTTCACTTGTCTAAATCTGACATTTCGGTCATTTCAACCAATAGAGCAATGAATGGATCTAGCCAATCATTGGATATACAGTCTGTCCAAGATAAGGTTGAACAGCATGGGGATCTCGAAAACGGTAGGAGATACGAAGTCGGTTAAATGGGGAAAAAATTGCGCATTCGGAGGCTTATATCAAGAGCCTTCGAAAATTTTGAAAATTATTTTTAGTTTTTGAGTTATATCGAAAAAAGTGAATTTTTGGAATATCTATTCCCAGATAACACAGGATATCCTATGGATATCCTTCTCAAGTCCATTTCAGGTCGGGATATCCTGGGACATGAAATGGATATCCATAGGATATCCGTCAGAGGATATCAAATGGATATTCTGATGCGGATCACCTATGGACGTCCATAAGATGTTCGTTTAGCGAACAAAAATTGTTAATTGAGAATGGTTCAAAACAATACGAATCATCACAAATATCACATGCAAATCACATGTTCATTAGCAATTCAAAGGTAGTTTTCCATCATATAACTATTGTTATGTAGGTATAATATGTTTATAGCCACAATTAAGATATCCGATGCAAATATGAATTCATATAAATAACAACACCACAGTTTGGAATTTTTCTCTGTTGTTCAATGTTTTCGTACAAAAATATACAATCACTCGAAAATACCTCTCATATATTTACTTTTTTGTGGTCTTCAGATGGACATCCATGAGATATTCATCCATGGATTTATAGCGGATATCCATCAGAAGATATCTTATGGATAGCCATAAGATATCCAAAGAAAACATAAAATCATATTTATGTCAAAATAACTTTTGTTCTTCAACATTTTCGCATAAAAATATGATTTTTCAGAAATAACTTGTATCTCCATTTTTTTCCTTGGGATTGAGATGGAGATCCATAAGAAGATATATTCGCATCCCTGAATTCAAAACTGGGTAGGTATTTTCCCAATGGATAGTAATAAAATATTCTGAAGCAATAAAATATAAATCAATATGGCATTCGCGTGAATGACAAATTTTCCAAAAGAAAGATGGAAAAATCTAAGTGAATCTAATTCTTGAATTCACCTTAACAGCATTTCGGAAAATAGCTTCATTGTTGCGCTAGGGATAACGCGATTCAAATCCAGCCGCACCTCGCCTCCTCTATTTATCTCTCAAAAGATTGAATTCAATTCGAATTAACCTCCATGGCTAGAATCGTTCTGATTGGTCTAAAATCTAAAAATGCATCCATGTCGAAAGTCATGGTAAATTGAATTCATTCATGAGGTATGAGTGGTTCACTCCTATAACTTTTTCATCATTGTAGGTAGTAAAACGTCAATTGGGGTCATGAATTATAGTTCATTTTATATTATTCGACATATCTACTTGCTTTACCGCACTTTTGGTTTAACCGAGGATGGCATTTTCAAACGGGACACCCTGTATTTTATTCCATAATCGGTTAAGGATTATCATAACGAATTCAACGATACTGTGTTTGATAGGATTTCTACAAACGATTAGAAAGATATTCACATTTCCATATCCTCAATAAGCATATGAAAACTTCGAATGCCATATATTCGTAATCGTTTGAAATAACCCTATCCAATCCGGTACCGTTGAATTCGTTATAATAGTTCCTAATTCATTATGGAATAATATACATGGTGTTCTATATTGTTAAGGATATTTAGTAAATATCCCTGAAAAATATCTCATGGATATTTGTGAACAATATCTTATGGATATCCCTGAAAAATGTCTTATGGATATTTGTGAACAATATCTTATGGATATCCCTGAAAAATGTCTTATGGATGTCCCTGAAGGATATCCTATAGAAGTCCAACTCCTTCCACTCGGCACGTCCATTGGACGTCCATAAGATATACATCGGATATCACTGGATATTCTCTGGATATCCCAAATATCCTAAATGGACGTCCAATGGATGTCCATCGAATGTCCGTGTGTTGACTGGGTTTTAACTTTCTTCTCCGTTATTATCAGAGATACAGCAAAACTGAGAATACTTTTTCATAGCAAATTTCAATGACGTTCAACGTGGTGATGCCGATTTTTTTATGCGACGTTTCGTATTCGTGGAACCATCATCAACTTTTGTTTTTCAAATACGGTCCTTATAATTTTTTCACAGATTCTGAAATTTTTTTTTATTCTGAATTCAATCATGTATTATACAAAGTGGTTTATGTGTGTTTCGACCTATTTTTAGCCATCATCAATGTTTTTTCGAAATTCCAAAGGAAAAATGCCAGCAGTTCCACTTATTTTATACCTCATCAACTGGTTTCAATCAACAACCCATTTCATTTTGCGGAAATAAAAATTCCATCCATACAAATTCAGAATATGTCAAGCGCTAAAACCAGGCGATGACGAAAGGCGCAGGACATTCTGTGAGTGGTATACCAGAAAATGTCTCAATTTCGCAGATTTCCCTCAAACAATCATCTGGACTGATGAAAGCATTGTCACTAATCATGGTATCTTCGATAGAAAAAATACACATTATTGTTCACGAGAAAATGAACATTTATACATTACAGCGAGACACCAACACCGTTTTGGCTTTAATATGTGGGTTGCAATATTTGGTACACGAATTATTGGTCCTTCTATTTACCATGAAACACAGACTTCTGAACGTTATAGAAATTTGCTTGAGAATCATCTTGAGGAAGCTCTGGATGATTTACCGATTGCGGAAGTTCAGAACGGTTGGTTTCAACAAGATGGCGCTCCGGTACATAATTCCAGAGAAGTCCGTGCATTTTTATCCCTTGGCCGGCACGGTCGCCTGATTTGACACAGCTGGATTTTTTCTTAGGGGATATATCAAACTTTGAATTCGTAAATAAGTTTGATGATGAAGATTTGAAGAAGAACTAAGGGACAGTGTCTTCGAAGCATTCAATAGGATAACCCCAGAAATGCTTAGCAATGTCTAAGAAGCAACTGTGAGAAGAGGATATCTTTGTTCAGAAAATAATGGTTATCATTTTGAACATTTGGTATGAATGTCTCTGTAGGTATTGTCAAAGTTAAGTTGTTGAAGTAATTCGTGTAGAAATTCATAAACAATTTTAAGCGCTGCATTGATCGAATGATGTAGTGAAATATTTTTTATTCACTTTTCAGTATTGAATAACTAATCCATCAAGTTTGACACTAAATGATCAGAAATGAGTGGAACTGATGGCTTTTTTCCTTTGGAAGTTCGAAAAAACATTGATGATGGATAGAACTAGGTCGAAACACATTCGAACCACCTTGTATAATACATGGTTGAATTCAGAATAAAAAAACCTTTCAGAATCTGTGAACAAATTATCAGGACCGTATTTAAAAAACAAAAGTTGATGATGGTTCTATGGATACGAAACGTTGCATAAAAAAATCGGTATCACCACGTTAAACGTCATCAAAGGTTGCTATGAAAAAATATCCTCAGTTTTTCTGTATCTCTAATAAGAACGGAGAAAAAAAAATAAAATAGAAATTCCAAAAATTCACTTTTTTCGATATAACTCAAAAACGAAATTTTCGAAGGCTCTTGATATGGCCTCCGAATGCGCAACTTTTTCCCCATTCAAGCGACTTTGTATCTCCTACCATTTCCGAGATCCCCAGGCTGTTCAACCTTATCTTGGACAAACTGGTATACTGGTAAAACTGCGCCACGTTAATAAAACTTTGATTATCTAGGATAGGATTGAACCATGAAAATCAATCAGACGACCCATATCTGTGTGTTTCCATCTTGTTTCGTTCGGCCTATCTTATATGTGTCTAGTATATTGCGTAATAAGTGTTGTAAGAAGCATATTACGCAAGAATGTTACCCACGGGAAATGTTCTTCGGAAATCTCTGCTATCATCCCTTCACTAGCAATACCAATCAGACGAACTAGACAAGCCCAGTCAGCACATCCTTTCGTTGTCAACCTCGAAAG